TACTACTACTACTACTATTACTACTATTACTACTACTACGATGACTACTACTACTACTACTACTACTACTACTACTACTACTACTACTTACTACTACTACTACTACTACTACTGCTGCTACTACTACTGCTGCTACTACTACTGCTATTACTACTATTACTACTACTACGATGACTACTACTACTACTACTACTACTACTACTACTACTACTACTACTACTACTACTACTACTACTACTACTGACTACTACTACTACTACTACTACTACTACTACTACTACTACTACTACTACTACTACTACTACTACTACTACTACTACTATTACTACTACTACGATGACTACTACTACTACTACTACTACTACTACTACTACTACTACTACTACTACTACTATACTACTACTACTACTACTACTACTACTACTACTACTACTACTACTACTACTACTACTACTGACTACTACTACTACTATTACTACTACTACGATGACTACTACTACTACTACTACTACTACTACTACTACTACTACTACTACTACTGCTGCTGCTGCTGCTGCTACTACTACTACTACTACTACTACTGCTGCTGCTGCTACTACTGCTACTAGTTTAATACTACTACTACTACTACTACTACTACTGCTGCTGCTGCTGCTGCTGCTGCTACTACAACTACTGCTACTATTACTAGTACTACTACTACTACTACTACTACTGAAATTCTAAATTCTGCCAAAATACAAATATAAACACTGGGAATTACCTACTACTACTACTACTACTACTACTACTAGTACTACTGAAACTCTAAATTCTGTTATAATAAAAATATAAACATTGGGAATTACCTACTGCTACTACTGTTACTACTACTACTACTACTTCTACTGCAACAATGACATACTAACTAAACAATGACTCAAACAGGACTAATCCAGGATTTAACTTCAGCTAAGCAGAGTTAATAAATCTAAACTGAAGTAAACTTGAAAACTACTGCATGACATCACAAGGTGGAACGTTCTGAGCTTTAGAGATGTAGACAGACTAATAATAAAGGATTATTCAAACAAAACAAAGCAAAACTCAAATCCAGGTATTCTCAAACACAATTCAAAATTTAACCCTTGTAGAGAACCTGTACCGCTATTTTTTGAACTTTTTATGACCTCGTGAAACGCTGCACATTTTCAACTCCAGGTATGTTTTTGATTTAACTATAATATCAGGTAAAGCTCACAAGAATCCACTTTGTCTAATATAGGACCTTTTATAAACAAGGCTGAAAATAACTTCTTGGGTTCTTTTTAAAGACAATGCAGTAAAGTGTATTTACCTTGTTGACATGTTTCGGCTGCTCGCTGCAAGACATTATAATTAGTGCTGTCAGGCGATTAAAAAAATTGAGAGATTAATTAATTATGATCTGTAATTAATTAATCTAATTAATCTCATTTTAATCTCACCTAAAAATAGCTGAGAAAAGCCTTCAATTTGAGGTATTTTCATTTAAATTCATTATTACATTATTGTGGCAGATCAAAAGACTGATATAGAACAAAAAAAGTGACTTTATAAAGTAATTTATTGTTTAACAAATCTCTCCAAATTGGCTGTTGAGCCCAAGTCTCCATGAATAAGAAACTGTTTGTTGTAAAGTAGCAAAGACGAGGAAATCTGAACATAATAACTTTTGTCGACTTAAAGACAATAAAAAGTCCAGTCTTTCCTTAACCATATTAAAAATATTATTGATAGAGAAATTATATTAAAATTATATATGAGATCACTGGTTTTAGTCCTTTACCTGCTTTAGTCCTAGTTTAGTCCTAGTTTAGTCCTGGAATGGATTAATCCTGGTTTTAGTCCTGGTGTTAGTTCTGGTTTGGTCCTGGTTTAGTCCTGGTTTAGTCCTGGTTTTAGACCTGGTTTTAGTTCTGGTTTTAGTTCTGGTTTAGTCCTGGTTTTAGTCCTGGTTTTAGTTCTGGTTTTAGTTCTGGTTTTAGTTCTGGTTTAGTCCTGGTTTAGACCTGGTTTTAGTTCTAGTTTTAGTTTCTGGTTTAGACCTGGATTAGTCCTGGTTTTAGTCTTGGTGTTAGTTCTGGTTTAGAGGCACAGGAGGAAGCGCGGTTTACGCCGCGTACGCGAGAAAACACGATCCACACGCGACTCATGGGAGCACGTCGGTGTCCGTGCAGTAACTACGGAAGGAAACGTGGTCCACGCGTTTCTCAGGTTAATGACGATGATGAAGTGTGTGTGTTTGTGTGTGTGTGTGTGTGTGTGTGTGTGTGTGTGTTTGTGTTTGTGTGTGTTTTGTGTGTGTGTGTGTTTGTGTGTGTGTGTGTGTTTGTGTTTGTGTATAGGACAGTAGTGCAGACATCATGAGTCTATGCAGGTTGTTTTCAGGCGATATTATATTTGTTATTTTCTTTTATATTTCACGTCGGGAGAATAATTTCCAAGACACAAATGTGTTTTTCCCTGTGCACTGCTGCTCTGTTCTACTGGCTCTTCCACCTCGTCCAATGTGTGACTGACGCCGCCAACGTGAACATGACGTTTACTTACGCTGTTACTGCGCGCGTTTTGTGTGGGTTTCCGGCAATGAGAGGAATTATCGAAATAAAAAAATGTATAAATGTGTTTTTGTGTGTGTGTGTTGTTGTCCCAACAACACATAAAAACAGGTTTTATAATAAAGCAACTCGCATACAGAAACACTAAAGTTAGAGATTAAAAATGAGATTAACGCGATTAAAAAACATAATAAATATGACTGTAATTAATTAATCGCAATTATCGCGATAATTTGACACCCCTAATTAAAATCCACCACATCGCAGACGGCAGCATCAAAATTACTGAATACCGGAAACCTACACACACTGACCAATATTTACTCTGGACATCCCAACATCCCACTGCACACAAACTTTCAGTAGTAAGAACATTATTGGCACGGGCCACACTCATCACAGACCGACAGGGAGGGAGAGGAGAGACACGTCACACAAACACTCAAACAATGTCAATATCCCAGCTGGGCCATAAACAAAAGCAGACAACAAGTTATCAATAAAACCAACAAACCCCGGAAAAAAACACAACAATCCAACACAGGGCAGCAGGACCACAAGAACATAGTCACACTACCGAACATCAGAGGCATAACCGAACCCATCCAGAGCCATGAAAAAACACAACATAAACACTGGAGTAAAACCACACACAAAACTCCACCAACAACTCGTACACCCCAAGGACAAAATCCCACAAGAACAAAAATGCAACGCCATCTACGAAATCCAATGCAAATCATGCAATAAATCATACATAGGTGTCAGAATAATTTTATTATCCCATATTTGCTAAATACTTGTGTGATATTCTAGGCCTATGAGTTAACCATTTATGTACTACAATTCTTTGATTTATAATGTACCAATCACTTGTCACTTGTTGAATAACCTCTGTGTGTTTGACAACTGTGTGCAGTGTCCTGTCGCTCTAGTGAACCTCCAGATGATTCCTCACATGAAGCCAACTCCCACTGTCACACATGAAGAGTTATGATGGTGTCTGACCTAAGGCACCTCCTGTTTGTTAATCATGTGGTTTATGTGTTTGTACTATGCATACCTTCATCAGTTTCTTATTATGTCTTGGCTGTTTCCCCTTCCCCTTGAGAATTATCGTTCTGTAACTAGGGCCTCCTAATGAAATAAAAAGAGGAGAACGGCCTTGAGTCATCAGAACGTGTGGAGACTGTTGGTTTTGATGCCCACTCTCTGCCCGTTCTCCTCATGAGTAAAACTGAATTAATCTCTTGTCTTTCTTCTTGTTTTTAATGTTTAGATAAACCTAACAATAGGGGAAACAGGCCGGCCATTTCACATCCGAAAAAAGGCGAGAAGGAAACGTCAGGGAGACTCACCAGAACACAAAAAGATAAAGCAGAACAGGAAAACCTAAAATCCGCCACATCAGACACTGTAAAAGGAACAACCACATTCTGGATCGGGACGGGGCTCGAGTCATCGGATCAGAAAACAACATGTTCAAACGCTGGATCAAGGAGGACGGTGAAATCAGGAAACGAGGCACGGACACCATTAACCGTGATGACGGCGCGTTCCTCCTTTCACACACCTGGGACACCCTCCTCCAGAGACACCGGGCGACGGGAGGCGTGGTCAGTCTGAGCCACCTGCAGGTCCATCAGGTCTGACCACGACTACAGGAAGTAACAACAGCTGATATACGACACGTCACCACCAACACCGGTGTCAGTTCTGAAGATGCAGCAGCCGAAACATGTCAACAAGGTAAATACACTTTACTGCATTGTCTTTAAAAAGAACCTAAGAAGTTGAAGTACATAAGAAGACAAAATGAACATCATTGGCTTAATAAGGCTGAAAATAAGTTTGTATTTGAGTTTTTTTTGTTTGTTTTTTTGTTTTTATGCATTCCTGATTGATCAAGAACCATGATACATGAACCAGAGCTGTATTAAACCAGAGCGGTGAGCACTATACCTCACATAAACAAGGACTTTTCCCATATGTAATTTACTAACTACATCAGCCCAGCAAATGAGCCGAAAATAACTTACAGCATCCCACTATTTACACGTAGGCATAATCAAATGTCTCAATTCAAAATGTGCATCATATATATTCAGTTCTGTTTTTAAAAATGGTACATTTGTGCATACTTGTGGAGTGACTCAACTGACAGATCGGGGAAAGGGGGAATAAATGCTCATGTAATCTTAATTTGTTCAGTATTATCAGTATTATTGTTGTTACTGTGAAATTAGTATTAATGGTGAGTTATGTTTGGCCATTTAACATTTGCAAGTGAATAACATACAAATTTACTAGAAATGTTTTTATAGATTGTGTCATGCGGTGCCCCCCCCTGTGGTTGTGAATGGTTACTGCACCAATGGCCCGTGTGGATAATCCGGCCTTGCATGAACTCAAGAGACCACGTTATATTCCAAAAAACATTTATTCAGTACAAATAAACTATATACTTACAATATTTACAAGTCTATGTACAGTTAGTTGAGTCGAGCATTCGTCACACAACAGACCTGAGACAAATACAGCAATGGTTTTCAGTGTACGACGTGTGCCACAATTTCACATCCTTTAGAGACTGCTTTGAATCAACATTTCGGCACCTTTACCACCTCAAGTGAAGGTGATTAATTCCGGTTTAGATCTTGGTTTAGTGTAGCTTAGTTTTCGCTTTATACTTCATACTTTCTAGATTTGACCTAGTTTAGTCCTTGTACAGTTGGACTTTCACCATAATTTTGCCTTGTGTCCCATATTTCGGTTTGAAAACCACTGGTGTATTGTAAAACCTATAACGGATATTGAATCCTTCACATGGTGTTATTGAGCGATTACAATGGCTTAGTTATAAAATGACATCATTGCTAAAATCACATCGGCTATTAATTATGAACGTAATCATTTCTACTTCCAGTGTATAAGACATGCTACATATGTACTGTACTTTTTGGGTCACAGCTTCCAGAAAAGGCAGTTTACACAAAGTGCAAATGAATTCACAATATTTAGTCTAGCATCAGTTAACAGGTATAAGATTTGACTTCTTTGACATTTACTTTTTGACTTATTTTAGTTTTATTTTAATTTCCTGACTGTAATCGTGAGTATCTTGCAGTGGTAAACAAATCTACACTACAGTGCAAAATGACAATATTGTGAATTCAAATGATTTCAACCGTAGTACATATACTGAACACGCTGTCGTCACCATCTTCACAGAAATTAAACCAGAGCGGTGCTTATTCAGAGTAATGGTCGAAGCTCTTTTTAAATAGTCCGAGAAAAAAAAGTCCCAAAGTGCATCTTTACTTGGCCTCAGAAGAGAGAAAAGGGGGTGAAGCTGTAGTCGTTTGACAGGAAGGTGGTGCCGAGGGTTGTGTACTTTGGGTGTTCATCAAACTCGTCGGCTGTAGAGAAAAACAAAGACACATCAGGATGTGAATCTGTGAAACGGGTTGTACCTGACAACTGCAACGGCAAAACCACATACATCCCCGCGCGCTTCTGACGCTGACAGAAATGCATGGCTTATTTTTGCTACACTCTCTGCAAAGAAGCAATGTCTAGACCTGGTTTAGTCCTTTTCTGGTCCTGGTTTAGATCTGGTTTAATCCTGGCTTAGTCCCTGGTTTAGTCGTGTTCAAACCCTCTTCTAGTTCTCTCGTAGTCCTGCTTTAGTCCTCGATTTAGTCCACACTTTAGTCCCTGCTTTAGCCACGCTTGAGTCCTGGTTTAGTCCCGGTTTAGTCCTGTTCTAGCCCTGTTCTAGTCCTCCTGTAGTCCTGGTTTGGTTCTGATTTAGTCTTGGCATTACTGACTTTAATGCAGCAACTACAAAAGCTGCACAAGTTATTGTCGCTACACTGTGAGAAAGAATTATTTAGACCTGGTGTAGTCCTGTTCTAGTCCTGGTTTAGTCCTGGTTTAGTCCTGTGACTGTCCAGCTTTCCTCCTGCGTGATGTGTCCTGGTTTAAGTCTGCTCTAGTCCTGCTTTCGTCCTGCTCTGGTCTTGGTTTAGTGTTTTTCTAGACTTTGCGCAGTCTTGGTCTAGTCCTGGCTTAGTCCCGGTTTAGTCCCAGTGCCGCCACGGTGAAGGTATTTCTCGTTTACCTGAAGACGATTCGCTGTACTGACTTCCTGGACTTGTGCATTGCGGTTCATTGGTCAGGAACCCATTGTTGCTTAGACCGCTTGGCATCCAGGACAGCCTCTCTCTCTCCCACTGCGCGCAAATCTGAGCAGAAATAAACACCGAATTACTTAAGAATAATATTTGTTTTTTTTTTTTGCATCAATCTAACAAGCGAGTTTAAGACACACATGGGTATCCTGACAATGAAATGCAAACAAAAAAGTCATGAATGCTCACCTCGATGATGTCGTCGTCCTCTGGGCCTGAAGCGAAGAAGAGGAGGAGGAGGAGGAGAGAGAAGAGAAGGATTATAAATACGAGATATAGATTTTGCTTTAAAATTACTGCAATCTCCCTCTAATGATTAACTGCTGATAATTCTGTTGGTAACTTACCTAATGTGCTGTGACTTGGTGAGACTTCGAAATGCCGAGTGAAACCAGTGTCCAACGTCATCCAGTCAGGGAGTTCAGGGACTGGACAAAAACAGAACAATTATTTTATTTGTGATTGTTTTATTAATACTACTTCATCTCTCCATGTCTACTCTAAGCTGTAAGTACTATGCTCATGCTTTGGTGAGGTTTGAGGGTGCAGTGGCTCACCGTGAGGCTCTGGCTGCATGGTACTGTCCACCCGGCTGTCCTGTGGGGAGGGGATGTGTGTGCTCTGCATTGGGGAGGGCACGCAGTCGCTGTCGCTCGACTCCTCCTCACATTTCACTTTGGTATTCCTCCTCCGTTTGGCTATTCTGTTTCTCTTCTCTGTGCAAATAAACATGCAATGGTTAGAGAAATACTACTACTACTACTACTACTACTACTGCTACTATGAATACGTCTGTTGGTGGTGCTGCTACTACTACAATGACCCAAATACTGCTGTAACCGATACTACGACTACTACAACCAGTACTACTACTACTGAAATCCTGCCATAATAAAAATATAAACATTGAGAATTACCTACTACTACTACAACTATTACTACTACTGCTGCTGCTACAACTACTGCTACTACTACTACTACAAACAGCACTACTACTAGTACTACTTTTACTACTACTACTGAAATTCTAAATGCTGCCAAAATAAAAAATATAAACATTGGGAATTACCTACTACTACTACTACTATTACTACTACTGCTCCTGCTGCTACTACCGCTACTGCTATTACTACTGCTACTACTACTAGTGTACTACTACTACTACTACTAGTGTACTACTACTAATACTGAAATTTTAAATTCTGTTAAATAATAAAATATTTAACAGAATAAATGTTAAATATAATAAAAAATATAAACTTTGGGAATTACCCACTGCTACTACTACTACTACTACTACTACTATTACTGCTGCTGCTTCTACTACAACTACTAATAGTACTTCTACTGCAACAATTCAAGTCCATTGTTCTTGACATACTAAACATGGACTCAAACAGGACTAAATTAGGACTTAACTTCAACTAAGCAGAATTACTGAAAGGATGTTGTGAGTGGAGGTGTTGATTTCCTGTGTTGTTTCTCACCTCTGCCTTTGAGGGTGACCGGCAGCAGCTTGAACACCCGCACGGCCTGGTGACCTTTGTTGACGCTTTTGTCTTTGACCTCCTCGATGTCAGGGAGAGAGTTCATCGCACAGCGGAAGTTTGCTTTCCAGGTTTTGGGGTCGCTCGTCTGGCCCTGCACATATTTACCTGTAAAAAAAACGACACAACAGTTTTAGGTTAAGGCTAAGGTAGACCAGGTTTAGTTCCTGTTTTTGAGTGTAAACATAATAAATCATGGTTGAATACAAGATATTTGTTTTTAAAAGTATTTGTTGTTTTAGTGAGCAGTATTATTTTGAAGTCATGTCATTTCATTTTAGATCTTAGTTCTCTTGCTCTTCACCTTTTATGTTTCTAAACAAATGAGCTGATGATTTAAGCTTTTGTCCTTTAGCAGTAGTAAAAGTATTAGTAGTGTATGGATTGTTACCTGTGTGGATGGCCCACTCTTTGAAAAGCGATGCGTCTTTGTCCAACTCCCAGCCGTGTCTCGCCGCGTGCTTCCAGGGAATGGAGAACATGGTCCTGTCCTGAAAACACAAGTTAAACAGAAGATTAAACCAGATGCCCTTCCCTGCTCCATCCTAAACTAGATGAAATGAGCATGCAGTGTTTTCCTGTATCATGATCTAGTTGCTGCTTTTGGAAAATAGTAACTTCAGTGTGGTGCCTGTTGCCGGAAATCCGCGCCAGTTCACATCTTGATTAGTAAACACCTCTTGAAGAAAAATCAAATTGCACCAAACCACATCCTCAGAGCATGTTCAATATGTTGCACCCTAAAACCGTAAAGCAGGACTAAAGCGACATGGCTCAAGATCAGACCCGGACTGAATCAGATGAGGTCTAAACCTAAACCAGGACTAAACCAGGACTAAACCTGCACACATAAGACAGTCCTTACTTTGTCAACCCAGTGTAGCCCGGGAACTGTATTGGAGTCGATCATTTTCTCCAGCCATGGGCGCATTCTCATTCTTGAAACTGGCATTTTGTCCTGCAAAAAAAAAAAAAGCAAAAAAAAAAAAGCACATTAATCGTCAATGAAGGGTCTGCGTGCCAGGGGGAGATAAGAGACGACCACTCCTCTTTTGCTGCTCTAGATAGAATTACAACAGGCGCGTAAAGAGAGGTCACTGCGCCAGAAGCACAACAGGTGACCAGAAGTGGAGCTGGACGCGTATTTGTCTAAACTACAATGTACAGAAGTGCATTAAAGCGTTCGTTTATGGCACAGCTATGCGTAAGAATCCGTTTTTTTTTTAGTTAGTGCAGTAGCGTATCAGGTAGTTAAACTGGTCAAAAATATTAAAGTAAGCAAAACGCATGCGTAAAAGTTCAAATAAAACCGCTTTGAGCTACTTACAGACTTCGCTTGGTTATGATCCACGAGGAAAATAAGTAGCAATAGTCCGTGTGTTTGGTTGTGTAGTGGTGAGCAGGGGAGAGTCGCTTCTTGTGTATCGTCCAAGAGTTCGAATCTCGCTCTGAAGGAGACGCACTCTGCCGCTGTTCATATATACCGGGAAATGGGTAATCCCCGCTGCTGGAGCGCACAGCAGCCGGGCATGCGCAGTGGGGCAGCTCAGCTCGTCGGCGCTCTAGACGTTTACGGGAAATCATGCTGGTGAGAAGAAGACGGAAGGCAGGCAGGGGAGGCAGTTTGCAGGAGGGCAGTGGCGGCACGTACACCCACGCAAGTCATGAACTATACTAGCTATAAACTTTACTATTTGGATTGTAATGTGCAAATATTACGGTGCGTTTTTCAATCATTAATGTGCATGAATTTAGTGTCGCCCAAATACGACTGTAAGACTTGAAATGTGCATTAAAATAAGCTTTGCATGCATACATTAAAGAAGATGAATGAAAACAAACTGGTACGTGCGTTTTGTTTTGTTTTTTTTAGCAAACTGAACTATTACGAATGACTGCACTCTGTAAATATGATGTCTATTGTGTGCTTTATCTATTTTGTCTATTTATTTTTTGGATGCGCGTTACTATTCCAATAAATCTACATTATAATAACTCTAAACGTTACACTATATCATACTGTATGTGCACTAAAACATACAACACACTACAGTGAATGAATATTGACTCAATATGATCATGTAACATCTCCAGTATATTTCTTTAACGTTTTCTTGAAACTTTGTTCATGCATAAGAATACATACCACTGTAACATAGTAGAATAACTTATATTGTTGCATAGTTGTAGTAGTAGTAGTAGTAGTAGTAGTAGTAGTAGTAGTAGTAGTAGTAGTAGTAGTAATAGTAGTAGTAGCTGCAAATATTGATTAAAATATGCTTGGAAAACATGCAAAAACAGCTCAGAATAACAGGTTCTCTCTTTAAATGGGCTGTGCTGTCACTCAGTAGTAGTAGTAGTAGTAGTAGTAGTAGTAGTAGTAGTAGTAGTAATAGTAGTTGTAGTTGCAAATATTGATTAAAATATGCTTGGAAAACATGCAAAAAGAGCTTAAAATCACAAGTTGTCTCTTGAAACGGGCTGTGCTGTCACTAAAAGTAGTAGTAGTAGTAATAGTAGTAGTAGCAGCAGCAGTAGTAGTAGTAGTAGTAGTAGTAGCAGGCTAGTAGTAGTAGTAGTTGCAAATATTGATTAAAATATGCTTGGAAAACATGCAAAAAGAGCTTAAAAACAAAAGTTGCTTCTTGAAATGGGCTGTGCTGTCACTTGGTCACTAACCTGCTGTTTCATTCTCTGCCAAAACTAAATAAATAAATACTAAAAACACGAGGGGTGCAAAGTTTTATCACTAGCTAACCAACCATTTTATTATACATGATCTTATTTCCCAGAATGTGAACCTCTGTCCATAAAAAAGTGCAGATAGAGGCTGGAGGAGCAGCTTCAGCGTCGCGCATGACCGGGCCTTTGTAAACAGCGCTGTTGGTGAAGTCGACCTTTTACGGGAAATGCTGTAGTGCTTTTTTATCACCGCTGGGGGCGCGTGAGCACCGCGCTCGGCTGCAGCATGCACAGCATAGTCTGAGAGCTGCAGAAGTGGCAAGTGTTTTCAGGAAATAGCTGCACTCAGCTTGAGGATTTAGGTGAACTGGAGCGTGAATAAAAGGGTTATTCAATTGTTTGCAACGCACTCCAACCTATAAAAAGAATGAGTTAATAACATTATACGCCTTAATAAACACGCACAAGTATCTCCAGTGTTGACTAATAACAAATGTGATCCAATCATAATAATATGTCATTCAAAGCTGGTTCGTCATGGTTAGAGAATAATAAAAATTGTGAAACAAGTTATTTAAGGAAAACTGTTCTGCACTTGGCCAATTCATGACTTACATTTCAGTCAGTACAGTCACATTTTCTTTGTGTTTTGGTTATTTTTAAGCAGCTTTTCTGTATTTTACACAAACAAATCACAATTTATGCCTCTCTTTACTGTTGGCAGGCGTCAAATTGGTCAAAAATAGGGAGATTTTTTTTGTATAAGACTCCGACAAATCAATGGTTTTGGATAAATCCGCTGGGACAGAGGACGCAGGACTCAAAACTGGGACTGTCCCGGGTAAAAAGGGGCGTCCGGTCACAGTCTGGTGCACTTTATGTCCATGCAACAAACTTAAAAGGCGCGCTGTGAATGTGGGTCAAGAATATGAGGGCGAATGCAGAAGGCTTAAAGGTGCATCATGTAACTGTTGTGTTGGAGTGTGTCATTGCTCTGGTATGACAAAACAACTCTACTTTACATTTAATGAATTACAGGTGGTTTTGTAACTCAAAAATACCTAGAATACCTCTCGCTTGGTCCAGTTTGGTGTCTGTCGAGATAGAAACTTTTGACGTCATGCCTCAGAGGTTAAAGCGGTCACAAGTGGGTCACCATGGATCGAATTAAAAACGGAAGCCAGAAAATGAACCCAACATATTGATAAGTCGGTATCTTCTTATTTTCTTGCTTATAATGAAACGTGGGGCAGAAGTGGGCCTGTAATGACGCAGTGGTGTGTTCAGGTTCATGCACGTTCCTCGGTGAATCTTGAAATATTAATGTGAATGTTGAAAAAAGCTGCTTACATCATAAACGATCAACTTTTGTGGCTTCGTAAACATTATTATTAGTTTGTACGACTCTAAACAAAAACAAAAAAATCCTTACATTTTTCATTTTGCTTTCGATTATAAACGATCGATACGCTGATGTGCATTCTTTGCGATTATTATTAGTTTGTACAACCATAGTATGACTTTTTTTTTTTTTTTTTTTTTTGCTGTATGTAAATATTTGTAAAGTTCCGTGATTAATGTATTCATTTTTGACAGGTTTGGTTTCTTATGAGCTTTATCTTCTACCCACTCCTTCTCTGTGTATGATTATTGTTTTTGTCGTGGCTCAAACTCGAAATAAAAAATTAAAAAAAACAATCAATCAATGTTGGCCCACGCTTTATGACGCGTAAAATCCGCCCGATGACTCAAAATGCCTTTGGGGGTCGAAGTTATTAATGAAACGATTGTCTCCCACAGTGCAAAGCTACTGTAAAAGACTGGTGACAATAGTGATTGTGCATGGCGCCTACTTAAGCGCTGAGGTCAGATTACGCAACAGCATAAGTGTGTATTTCATCATGACAAACAAACAAATGGGCCTAATAAGTTTTTTCCTGCGGCAATCCATGTAAAGACTCGATATTCCCCCCAGAATCCCAAATTTTAAGTCTGGGAAACTCCGGAGATTTGATGGACCAGGTGAAAAACTCCACTGGAAACGTCCCTAGCTTTTCCCTTTCCTTACCCCTCCCTCTCCTCCCCTCTCCTCCTCCTCCTCCCTCTTTCCTTCTCTCCGCCCGCGCGCTCCTCGAGGCACGCTCACGCCCTCCCACCCCTCCCCTCCGCGTGTCACGTGGACGGAGGCGCGCATGGGAAGTCCCAAAAAGGACTGTGAGGTGTCCACTCTGACAGCGGAGTTTCCCACAGCCTCCATGTGTGGCTGGGATTACATCACCCGCCGCTCCGGCCCTGAGCACGAATGATAAACAAACAGCGCGGAGCACGACAGCGCTGTTAAAGCTGCACTGCGTAGCTTTTACTTCACCTCGTGGACATGTAAACGTGTGGCATTAAAGGTGCTGTATTACGCAAAACTGTCTCGTGCGAGCTCGTGTTTATATTATAACGTCCTCTCCTCAAAAACAGATGTGGAGTTGTGTTTTGTTTCATTCACACATGTTTGAGTAACTCTTTTATTATTAGTCTGTTGCTCTGTTGCACCTTGTGACGTCATGAAGTGGTAGTTAACAGGTACACAAGTTAACAGCCCCCTTTCATTTTAGTTCAGAAGAGATTGCAAATTCTAGAGCTGAAATGATCCAAATGATTCTAGTGAAAGTGTATCAAGTTTAAAAACACACAGTCAAGCACTTCCTGTATTTATTTTTTTTTGAGGCCAATCTGCATTATCAGTCCCACCATCACTCACACACACACCACTTTCATACTAGGCAGTGTGGGTGAAGTGTCTTGCCTAAGGACACAACAGCAGTTTTTGTGAGTGGCGCCCCCCTGTGGCTCCTGATTTTCCCAGTGTCTCCCATCCAAGAACTAACCAGATCCGGCCTCTGAGCTCCTGAGATGTGACGGGATCAGGCTTTGACAAGGCCACATTATCACATGACATCACAAGGTGGAACAGAGTGTTTTGTTTGAGAGAAATGAGCCTAAATGTGCAGGTTTGTGTGTTAAACGTGTGAATGAAACAAAACAACTCCAGGTCTGTTTGTGGTGAGGAAACAATATTATAACATAGAGTAGATCAGAAAATAGTGTCCTTGACCTTTAAACTTATCTCTCTTCATCATGGAGACACGGAGGTGACAGCACCAGACCCAGTCACAGGTCAGATCTATGGAGCGGTGATGCAGTTCACTGTAAACATTAGGGAGAATCATTTCTCCAACTCTTTGAAAAATGTCTGAAAACCAATCTGTATCTAGTATTGTTTTTTACACTTGCCAAAGTAATCTTCTGTGAGAAATTTCATCAAATTCTGTTGATGTCTACTGGGTCCATCAAGCCTCTTGAGTTTAGTGCCTGTGGCCTTAAATCTGAGCTGAAACATCTGTTTTTTCTTTAATATCTTTATCCTTTCTGGAAACTTGGGTTTACTAAACCCTGAGCCACTGGGATGCTCTGGGTGATGTCACATATCCAGGCTGACGCCCCCTAGTGCCTCCACTCAATTTAAGTTCTCTCCAGCAATCTAGATCAGGAATCAAAATACACTAGACAGTTTGCAAAAACATCATATATTCTGTGTTGTCAACGATTCCTGAGATCGAGGATTTAAAACCGGAACAAAGTGAATGTTTGGTGAATTTTATCAAGGAGAAAGACGTTATTGTCCTTCTTCCTACAGGATTTGGGAAAAGCTTAATAAACCAGTTAGCCCTGTTAGTGGGGCATTACATACAAATCAAATAGCAGCGGTTGGTTAAATGAAAAAAAGTACCCGTCTACCGTCAAACAAACAAA